GGGGGGGGGTGGTTCAAGCCCCACGTTGGGCTTAGAGCTTACTTAAAAAAAAATAAACCCAAAACCAGAATCGTAGATTGAGTTCTTCTGTAATGAGGGGTAGGAAGCAGTGTGTACCCCATGCAAGAAAAACAAACGAAGGAACTGTTGTTGGTTTTTTAAGCACAAACTACACAGAGTAAAAGTGAATGTTCCCGGATTATGGGGGAGCAGCGGTGGGGAGGCTTGTCAGAGGACGGCTCCAGCCAGTGAGCTGCCCCTGGCCAGTCCCGTCTGCACTTTTCCCCAGTGGCCGCTGGTGCCCAGGAGAGAAGGCCGTAGGCTTCCACCCTGTCAGGGAGACCCTGTGGGAGCAGGGCTGTCCCAGCCCCCCGAGACCTGTCACCGGACAGATCGGGAAGGGAACTCGCTGGCATTGTGAACACGAGGCCGCCCCGGGCACGCGCCCTGGCTTTGTATTCCCGTCTTGAAAGAGCAGCGCTTTGCCCAAGTTACTGCCCTCCTCCCTCTGCACCTCTGCTATCGATTGCCTGCTCTTTCTTCTTTGTCTGGATGTCTGATCTGAGTAGACTTCTCTGTGTTCATCCCTCCCAGAGGCTGAGGTGGGGGTGCGGGTGGGGATTCGCCCCGTGATGTGTGAAGAGTTCTCTCTCTCTGCCCCATGGATAAGAACACCAGCTTCTGCCCTCTGCTCTTCGTCCTTCCACACGAGGAGCCTTTTCTTCCTCCTTAGGCAAACTTTGTAGATGAAGCGTAACGCACACAAAGAAAACGCACTCACCGTTTGTGCACAACTCAGTGAAGTTTCCCGAAGTGAAAACACCTTTGTTTCAACAGATGCAGCTTTTCCTCCAGAGCATCTGTTCGCTGTTGGGCCGATCGTTGTTCTTTTCCGGCAGTAGCCGTGCGTAGTTTTCCTTAGGTCCTGTGAAAGGGGTCCCCAAGCAGGGCATGATGGTGTCGTTCGGCCAAGCTGGTGTATCTCAGTGGGCTGGCACTGAGAGGCCTAGGGTGGGATGTCTGGTCCCCCTGCTGGTCACCAAACCAGAGCTGCCCGGTTCCTCCCAGGTCTCACAGTGGCCCCTGTCAGGAGGGTCAGGAAGATAAGTTGGCCTCGATGCCTTTGATAGTGGACGCCGGGATTTGGCCCCGGCTGCTCCAGGCCGTCCCCTGCCTGCACTTGCTGCTGGCTGCCCTCTCCAGTCGCTTGGTGAGGAGGGGGCGTTTGGGAGTCCTGCTGCTCTGCCCGGAAGGACCCTCTTCAGCTGGAACCCACAGCTGTGGGAAGCCCCCTTTGCAACCGGCTGGAAGAGGCCTCTACCTTCCAGCCCCAGTCTGGGCCCCTGCAAGGGAGGAAAGCAGCCATACCAGTGATCTCTTGAGCCCTGGGCCTTTGTGTCTGCCGAAGGCCTTTCCCAGAGCCCCCCGACAGATAGGAGGAGGATGAAATGTCCTGCCATCCCAACACGTATGTCCCCAAGGACCTGGGGAACAGTGGGCTTAGTCCCAGACCTGTGCGCCTCCCTCAGGTGTAGGCTCCAGCTTGGGGGTCTTAGCCCAGGGCGGCTGTTATGCCGCTCGTGCTGCCAAGGTTGGGGAAGTCAGTGTCTGAGAAGGAGCGTGCTCCAAGGTGAAGCCCTCAGTGCTCTGCTGGGTGAGGGCCTGCCGCCCGCCCGGTCTTATCTGGGAGGGGCTTTGCTGAGAGACCCACATCCCTGGTCAAGTTACCTCTGGGCAGGGCAAGGCTTGGGGTCTCCCAGAATTCAGGGGTTGCAGCCACTTGGGGCCGTGTGAAGGTCGTGAGAGGCCATGAAGACTGGTGCCCCCCAGCTAGACAGAAAACAACGGGGAGCCTGCCATTCTCCAGGGTCCCCATGTCTAGACAGCTGCCTAGCTCAACTGCGACCAGAGGGAACAGTCCCCCCACCCGGAACCCAGCCCTGATGTGACGGACAGGTGCATCCGTAGGCGGGGGGGAGAGTCAGAGGAGTGGCCAGAGCCCCACAAGAGCAGCAAGGCTCCTCTGGTATATTCTGGGGCTCCCGTCCCGTGCCCACAGCCGCCAGCATGTGGTTTCCCTCAGCCCAGAAGTAATCTGTTTAAATTTTCATCTTTAGTCTCGCTGGCTTCGTGAGTAAATCAAGGTTCGTCAGATTTTCATCTGTATCTTTCATTGTTAATGAGATCTTGCGTTTTTCCACGCGCTACACGTAAAATACTCTCATCACTTTCCTTAAAAACAAGAAGTAAACCTTCACGTTCAGCCCTGCACACGCTTGTGAGTGGTACCAGGGTCGCGTAGCCTCGCCCCCTTTCGGTCTGCTTGTCTCTGAAAGGGGGGAAAGCGTTGCCCGGCCTGGGGTGGGGGTGGGGGCGGTACCCACGCGAGATGGGCAGCTGGGGTCGACGCGGCCGCGTGTGCGTGTCCGTCAGGGCCGTCGTGGGGCGGCAGTGGCGGCGGCCCTGAGCGGGGTCTCTCCCCTCTCTTCCAGCGTGCCCGGCATGGTGCTCAAGGCCTTCTTCCCCACGTGCTGCGCCTCGGCCGACAGCGGCCTGCTGGTGGGACGGTGGGTCCCGGAGCAGACCAGCGCTGTGGTCCTGGCTGTGGTGCACTTTCCCTTCATCCCCATCCAGGTGAAGGAGCTCCTGGCTCGGGTGCAGCAGGCCAGCCAGGTGGGGGTGGCCGTGCTGGGCACCTGGTGCCACCGCCGGCAGGATGCCGAGGAGAGCCTGGGCCACTTCCTGGAGGGCCTGGGCGCCATCTTCTCCCATGAGCCCTGGCTCCAGCTGTGCCGGGAGAGGGGCAGCAAGTTCTGGAGCTGCAAGGCCACCCGCCGGCAGGCACCTACCTGCCCCGGTGCCCCCGGCGAGGACCAGGTCATGCTTGTCTTCTATGACCAGCGCAAGGTGCTGCTGTCCCAGCTGCACCCGCCCGTGGCCCTGCCTGACCACCAGGCTGGCGATGCCGTGGCCGGTGCTGGGGGCTTGGCTGCTGTCTTTGACACGGTGGCGCGCAGTGAGGAGCTCTTCCGAAGCGACCGGTTCGACGAGGGCCCCGTGCGGTTGAGCCACTGGCAGTCGGAGGGCGTGGAGGCCAGCATCCTCGCGGAGCTGGCGAAGCGGGCCTCGGGGCCCATCTGCCTGCTGCTGGGCGGCCTGCTGTCACTTGTCTCAGCTGCCAGCGCCTGCCGGTAAGTGCCCCTGGGGCCGGGGCGGGAGGAAGTCCGGCCCCTGAGCCGTAGCCCAGCCCTCTCTGGGTATGTCTGAGGCTGCCTGCGTGCCGGTTGCTGTCCGTGCCCCTTGCTCCCTGGGTAGAGCATGCCTCCTCAGCAGCGTCTGGCTGCATGGGACCCCGCTGGGTAGGGGGCCAGAGTGGACTTCAGGTGGCTCGGTCCCCTACACGGGCAATCAGGCCATGAGCAGGCCCAGGTGGTTGCCACCCGAGGGCTGGTGTTTGCCCTGCCTGGTGCCTAGGACTTGTTTGTCCTGGAGGCCTTCGGGTCCCACCCACTTGCCTGGCCCTGGCAGGGCTGGGGCCCGCTCGCTGGTGGCCGTGTGTCCGGGATGGTGGTCCCTAGCCTTGGCTGTTCTCCACAGTGGCCTGGGCTACTCCTGGCTGCAGGCCTGGCCGAGGGATTTATAAAAGTCCTTGAGGGCCCTGGGGAATGCTGGCACCCCTCCCCCTGTGAGAAGCTGGCTCCCCCATGGCGCCCCCCACCTAGGTCCTGGGGTTCTGGCTGTTGGGTCTGGGGACTGGCTTCACCTCCTCACCGAGGGCTGTGGAGTGCTCTCGCCTGTGCTGGCAGAGAGCCCTTGGCGGCTGTGTGTGGACAGCACCTTGGGTTGAGAGCTGCAGGGGATCTGGACACGAAGGGCGGGTTTCGGATCTTCACTACTCCCTGGAGCGAATGACAGGAAAGCGTGTGTCAGCCAAAGTACGGTTTTGGGGGGAGACGGTCCTTAGCTTTTATCAGCTTTCAGAGGACTCAAGAAAGGTTAACACTGGCTCGTGTGCCCCGAATCCTGATTAGCCCATCGGGTTAGAGCACAGGGACGGTCACGCGAGGCAGAGCTGTTACTGTGCAGAAGGGCGGCCCCCTCTTCCCCTTGGGCAGCCCCAGGGGTGCCGGCGGGGCCCTGGCCGCCCACGGCTGGTGTGAGCCTCGGGGAAACAGCTGTGCAGGAGGGGGCCTCTTGTGCAGACAGTGCGAGGCCGCCTTCCAGCTGACTGGAGTTCAGGAGGGGTGTGCTGAGCACGTCTGGCTCCTGGAGTTGGCTCGGAATGGCTCGAAGACCTCCTCCTTCCTCCTGAGGGCCCGGCACTCGGCTCGTTGGCGGCTCCGCGCCCTTCAGGCTCCTGCTGGCGGCAGCAGGGACTCAGGTTCGAAGTGGAGACTCTTGAGTGTAGCCGAGTTCCGACAGGGCACTTAGCTCACAAACGTCTCCCCTCAACGTCCCACTGTCTGCAGAAGCATCTCAGTGCTTCCTTTTCCTTGTGAGAAATCAGTCTCGTGGGGCAGCCCTGGCAGCCTGGAGACCCTCGATGAGGGTCACCCGTCCAGCAGGGCGAGGCGCTGGGTGGCTGGACAGCACATTCTCTCCACTCCTGGGGCAAGGTCTTGGCGCTTGGCCTTGGGTGTGCCTCAGGTCACTGCTTTGTGACGAGGTCAGGTTCCCAGTTAACGTCCGTGAGTGCGTCATGACCCTCGCCGGGCTGCCCGCCTGTGCCCCCCGCCGTGTGCCTGTGCTGCCGAGTTCGGGAGTGTGGCCATCGGTGTTCGGGGGCTTCCAGGGCCTTGCGTCGAGCCTGGTGACGGCACCAGCCAAGGGGGCCCCCGGCCCTTGGCCGACAGGGAACCCCAGCTGAAGATCCACCTCTCGGTTCCTTCATAGGGTGTTCCAGCTGTGGCCCCTGTCCTTTATCTGGAGCAAGCTCTCCACATGTGAGCAGCTCAGGCACCGGCTGGAGCAGCTCACGTTTGTCTTCAGCACCCAGAAGGCCGAGAACCCCACCCAGCTGATGAGGTGCTGGGTCTCCACCACAGCTGCTGGTCATGCCACCAACCCGTGCCCCCCCGCCCACTTCTCTACACCCAGCCCATCCACAGTGACCCTTTCGGGGCTGGCCCCCTCACCGCCCGCCCCATTGGACCCCTCCCTCCAGAAAGGCCCCCTCACCGCCCGCCCCGTCGGACCCCTCCCTCCAGAAAGGCCCCCTCACCACTCGCTCCCTCCTGTCGGGCTCCTCCTTCGGGCTGGTCCCCTCACCACCCACCCTGTGGGGCTCCTCCTTCCAGAAAGGCCAACGTGCTTGTCTCTGTGTTTCTTGACGTGGCCCTTGGTCTTGCGCTGCTATCTTGGCTTCACGGGAAGGACCGGATCGGCCACCTGGCAGAGGCGCTCGTCCCCGTGGCTGATGTGAGTCGGTTGGGGGAGCCTGGCGTGTCCCAGGGGTGACTTGGTTGGGGGAGCCCAGTGTGTCCCAGAGTTGGAGGTGGGTCCCTTCCTGGGGGCGGCAGAGGCCCATCCGCCTGCCAGAGCACCATTGCCCTTTCCCTCTGTGGGGCCCGTAAGCAGCCCTTGTCCTTGACCCCAGACGAGTCCCATCCCTAGCTCCTGGCTTGGGCGCTCTGCACAGAAAGCGTCGCGGAAACCTTGCGTGTGTCCAGGGCTGTCTGTGTGCGGTCAGACTCGGGCCTCACACCCTGTGGCAGTCAGGCCACTCGCACTGCTGATTCTGCAGTTCCCATGCTGAGTGCTGGGGGCCCAGCTTGTCCGTGGGGCTCCCTCCTCTCCTTCCGTGGCCCTCCTCTCAGCTTCTACCCTGCTGCTCCTTTATGCCGGCGCCGAGCCTTCGGCTTCTCTGCCTCCCCTCCTCAGAGCCACAGGCCCTGTCACTCCTGTCGGGGAGCTTGTCTCCCTGCTTAGAGCAGTCCCTCTGGCCCCTTGGGCCTCCCCCACGCCTCTGCCAGTGGCCTGCTGGCCCCGGTGTGGTCCCTGTGCGTGCCACCCCTGCCACTGCCATCGGCATCAGTCGCAGCTGTGCTCTGGGCCTGCTTGTGGGCAGGAGCCCTCACAGGCCGGGAGCCCCCATGGCTTCTCTGGGAGACGCGGTCCGAGAGGAAGAGAGCAAGGAGGGCCTGGCGGCTGGGAAGGTGGCTTGGTCGCTTCACCTTGCTTGTCCATGCTCTGCCTCTTGGCCGCTTCATCTTAGATCTCCCTTTTGCAGAATTGCGCAGAAATATAAATATTTAATTTAAAAATGAAAGCTCCTTCCTGCCGCCTAGCTCTTATCCTTTAAATATTAGATAAGCTCTATTTATAAAGAGTGCTTTGTTTCTTTCCTCACTGCCCCTGACATGGCTGAGGCTTTCGTAGGCCCGCACAGTGGGCAGGAGCGGGGTGACGGGTCGGTGACTGTGGGGCAGTCACCGCTGTGGTCTCAGCATTGCTGATAAGGCTGAGGGTCCTTAGGCCTGTGCTCTGGGACAGGCACAGTGCTTGGACATTGGCTTCCTCCGTGGGCAACCAGGATGCGGGTCAGCTTCCCTGCTTGCCTGTGAGAGTCCCCGTGCCGTCTCTGGCCCTCGCTCACTGTAGTCGATGACTCACGTCTCATCCGTCCTTTTCTCCCGGGAACTCTCTGGCCTTCTCACTGGCACCTGGGCCCCTGATGGGCTCGATACCCTTCAGGATTACCTGAGGGCACCCGCCCAGGGCAGGCCTGGGCCTCTGCAGCACCAGGTGGTGGGGTGGGGTCCTCAGCAGAGGGGCACTGTAGACCCGTGGGCTCCCCCTACAAGGTTCACGGTGAGCTGGGGTCTGTCCCTCATCTGGGCATGTGGGGCCGAGTGCTCCGGTGGGCCCAGTGGCGGGAGGGTTGGAATGCGGGAAAGGGTGATGGCCATTCGGGCCCCCATGTCCAGAGGGCCAGGGGAAGACTGTCAGCCTTGTAGGCTGTGCCTCTCAGCAGGTCCCAGAGCATCTGCGAAGAGGGGTTCCCTGGCCAGACAAGCATGGGAAAGCTTGTGTGCCCGTCATGTTAGGAGACACCTGGAGGGAGGCACCCAGACTACCTTGTCCCTGCCCAGATGGGCTGGCCGTGGTGGGGTGCAGCTGACAGACTGCGTGCCCCTCCTGTATCCCTCCAGCACGTGGCCGAGGAGCTCCAGCATCTCCTGCAGTGGCTGATGGGAGCACCTGCTGGGCTGAAGATGAACCGGGCCCTGGACCAGGTCCTCGGCCGCTTCTTCCTATACCATCTGCATCTGTGGATCAGTGAGTGGCAGCTCCCCCTGGCCCCAGTGACCACCCCCAACTCGGCTTCTGAAGCCTGTGCACCCAGGGGACAGCCCTGGCTGAGTGGGGCCCCACCCATCCCCTTGGGCCCTGCTTTCCTCCCTCTTGGTGCCGTGTGTGTGTGTGTGTGTGTGTGTGTGTGTGTGTGTGTGTGTGTGTAGCCCTGCTCTACCAGGCCGGCTGCTCCGCCAGGAGACGGCCACGAAGGAGAGCAGTCTGGCAGCCTCAGGCACGCCTTGTCCGTGAGGAACTGGGGGGGTCAGGACCCATAGCTGACCGTCCCCCATCCCACCAGGCTACATCCACCTCATGTCCCCCTTCATCGAGCGCATCCTGTGGCACGTGGGCCTCTCGGCCTGCCTGGGCCTGACGGTCGCCCTGTCCATCCTGTCAGACATCATCGCTCTCCTCACCTTCCACATCTACTGCTTCTACGTCTACGGCGCCAGGTGGGCGTGTGCTCCCCGCTCGTGAGCACCCTGGACGCTTGCCGGGCCCGGGGGGGGCTCCCGGGGTGGCCCAGAGCCCTGGCCCTGATGCTGCCCGTGTCCCTCCCGCAGGCTGTACTGCCTGAAGATCTGTGGCCTGTCCTCGCTCTGGCGTCTGTTCCGGGGGAAGAAGTGGAATGTTCTGCGCCAGCGGGTGGACTCCTGCTCCTATGACCTGGACCAGGTACTGGGCATGACTGCAGGGGAGGGGCACCCCTCCAGGGGGCCGGCGGGACCCACAGCCGACTGCCCCCCGAGCTCCAGTCCATCCGGTCCTCTAAACGGCTTGGCCAGTGTAGCCGCTTGGCACCCTGATGGGGTGACCACACTCCTGTCCGTGGCTCACCTCACCTGCCAAGGGTCGGCACGGACGCTGGGGAACGTGAGGAGCCTGCAAGGGGCAGGGTGCATACGGAGCCTCAGATAGCACGGGACCTTGCCCCAGGCGGGAGGTGGACGCTGCTCTGGGGAGGGTGCCGGATCCCCGGGAGCCGCTGGATGGCAGGGCATGGAGGTGACCTAGGCTCAGGGCCTGCCTCTGGCTTTTCCCATAGCTTAGGCCTGGCACATGGACCCTGCGTGCTGCCCTCCAAGGCCTACTTTTGCTGCCCTAAATTCACCACCCGCCCGCTTCTGGTGTATGTGCTCATGTCCTGCTGGCTGGTTCTGTCCGCCCGAGTCTGGAGGGCACGCGGACACGTCCCTCCCAGTACTGGAGAAAGCTGTCCTGAGCAGCTTTTCTTGACTTGTCTCAGGAAGCCAGAGTGTCCCGGCGGCAGGCGTCCCTTTTCCGCTCGGTTACCGGATGGGTCTGGTGGGGACGGGGCTGTTCCCGGCACGGGGCTCTTGCTGATGCTGACGGTGGTGTCCTTTCTCCCTGCAGCTGTTCATCGGGACCTTGCTCTTCACCATCCTGCTCTTCCTCCTGCCCACCACAGCCCTGTACTACCTGGTGTTCACCCTGGTGAGCCGAGGGGCTCGCGGCCTGGGAGGGCCTTGGCCACGGCACCTGGCCAAGCCGGCCGATGGGCCTCGCCCACAGTGCTTGGGGGTGATGAGTGTGTGCTCTGCCTGCCGTCTGTCCCCGCAGTCCATGGAGGGTGTGGCTCTCCTATGCTCTCCGGACACTGTGCTGGGCCCTACCCTCGCGGCACAAGCGGCGGCGGGGCGCAGGACTCAGGGGCGTGGCACCCAGGTGGCCCGCGCCGAGGGGAGGGGCTGGTGGCGTGTTTCCCTGGGCTCAGCCGCTCCCACTCGCGGCCCCCTGCCTCCTCATACCTGGGCCTTAGGATCTGGGTGGGAACCGCGCCCTCCCCGGGGGTTCCGAGCTCCTGGTCGCCCTTGGTCGTGGCCCGGGACCCTCCCGGCTGCTCTGCTCCTGGGCGTGCGGCGTGGCTCTGAGCGCTGTCTGTGCTGTAGCTCCGGCTCCTGGTGGTGGCCGTGCAGGGCCTGATCCATGTGCTCGTGGACCTCGTCAACTCCCTGCCGCTGTACTCCCTCGGCCTCCGGCTCTGCCGGCCTTACAGGCTTGCAGGTGGGTCCGTGTGCTGCCGGAAGCAGTAGTGTGGGGCATGGGGGCGGCTGGTGGGGGAGGGCAGAGACCCCTGGTGTCCACCAGGCCGGCTGCCTGCAGTGAGCTGGAGGGAGACCCACCTCGCCCTCGGGTTTCGAGGCTGCAGAGGCGACCTTTCCTCTCGCTCACCCTTTCCTGCGACGAGCGTGAGATTTGCCCTGAGGTCTGTGTGTAGTAGCGTAGGTGGCACCTGAACGTGGCTCAGAAAAGTGTCCCCGTGTGCTTGTGTGTGACCGTGTGTGCCTGCTCATGCCCTTCAGCCTCGGAGAGGACAGGCCAGGGCGGAGACTGCTGGGCTGGCCAGATCTGTGAGATAGGAGCCTCGCCCCACCCCACAGACCACTGCCCACCGGGACAGTACCCACCGTCCCAGCTGCTCCTGGCTGTGCCCCCTGCAGCTGGCTGCCCCTGTTTTCATGATGACACCAACCACTAGGTTGGCCAGATGCCCCTGAGGGGAGGCTATCCCCGTGGCAGGCCCAGGGAGGCAGACCAAACCGATCACAGCATCGTGAGTTGGCCAGTCCCGTTCAGGGGCTTTGCGCACGTCAGGGAACACGGGGAGGGCAGACCTGGCCCTGTGTCCGGTTTGCAGCTCAGCCCCCACACCAAGCTCAACCAGCCTCTTCCAGCCCGTTGAGGGCCAAGGACTTGAACCTGCATGTTCCGTGGGCTTTGGGCCTAACATCGGCCTACTGGGTACCCTTGAGTTCCCTTTCCAGACCGCTTCCCCTGCAGGCCCCCAGGTGGCCCATGCCAGGGGCTCCAGCCTCTGCCCATACTTTCTCGCCAGGACCAGGCTGGTGAAGAGCCTGAGACCCAGGGTCTCCCTCCCCCGGCCCACAGCTCGTGGCCAGAGCTGAGTTGTTTTGACTTCACATAAAAACCCACAGATGCCGCTGCTTTCTCTCCTTTTCACTGAGTTTGCCTTGGGGCCTCTTCATCAATTGATAATTAGCTCCTGCTTCTCTTTTTAAGAACTTTCTGCCTTGGGAATTCCCAGGCTTGGGAGCCCACACTGTAGGCCAGGGGCATGGTGGGTTCCCGAGTCGGCCACGCACACAGAATTTAGAAGACCTTTAGATGCCGGGAGGGTGGCCACAACCCAGCAAGCACCCTGTCCATCCTGTGGGACAGCCCAGCCCAGCCCACATCCCGTTTGGAAAGCAGCACAGCCTGTGCCCCCGATGCCCAGCTGACTCTTCCCTGGCTCCCAGACACGCAGCTTCTGCCTTTCGGTGAAGTTCTGTGGAGGCTTTGATTCCGGCCAGGCAGCCAGGCCAGAGACAGACGGGAAGGTTGGGGCCGGGCTGGGGGCGGGTGCGCCTGTGGCGCCACCGGGGCCGTCCTCAGCCTTCTGAGTGCCACCGGAGGTGCAGGGCCCTCTGCCCGCACCCACCCGCCTGTGCTGACATGAGGAGAGGGAGGCCTGGGAGGCTGTCTGCAGGCCGTGGGCCTTGGGTGGGGCTGGGGGGCTCCGCCCTCCCTCACAGCCACCTTGCCCTTCCTGCAGCCGGCGTGAAGTTCCGAGTCCTGGAGCATGAAGCTGATAGGCCCCTCCGCCTCTTGATGCAGGTGAGGCCTCTGCGCACCCCTCATGCCGCTGCCAGTGGACTGACCCGGCACCCACCTGCCGTGGTGTTGCCCAGATTGGGGGGCAGCTGGGATCTCATCCCTCTGTGCTTCCCTGGGCGTAGGGCTGCAGGGTGCAGCAGAGCTGATGGGTGGGGCCCAAGGGGAGGCTCCCTCACCTCCGAGACATCTGGGCACTGTGACCCCCTCTGCCTGGAACCTCCTTCGGCAGGACCCTGGATGGGATCCCTTGTGCTATGTCAGATGCTTTCAGCCACGCAGGGCTCCTGCCTGCTGGGCCTTGCACCCTTGTTTCCTGCCCTGGGTCCCACGGGCTCTCATTCCAGGTGGACAAGGACAGACTTGGTGAAGGCCCCAGGACACACAGGCCTTTTCTCTTGGGCTCTTTTCTCGGAAACAGCCCCTTTGGCCTGTGGGAGGGAGGAGGAGGGTGGCTATTGGCTGCTGGGGGGGCGGGGTGGTTGCCCTGAGGGCCACATCTCAGGGACAGTCAGATACTGAGGCAGCCAGCCTGTGTGGTGTTCTCGGGGTGGGGGGTGTGTTCCCAGACCACTTGCGAGGCTCCTGCGAGGTTAAGTCCTGCAGTAGAGGGGTCTGTACCCCTCCAGTCTGGCCCACCTCCCCTCCCCGAAGCCTATCTCGAGGAGGGCATGCCCGTCTCGGCCGGAGTGTTCCCTTTTGAGCCGCTCACCACGCTACCCCTGGGTGCTGCAGAGAGGGCACGACTGGGCAGCGCCGGCTCCGACACGGGCACGATTGACGGCCCGGTGCGCTGGGGGCTGTGTGCTGGCTGCAGCGCCGGCTCCGACACGGGCACGATTGACGGCCCGGTGCGCTGGGGGCTGTGTGCTGGCTGACCACGGCCCTTGTGCTTTCAGATAAACCCCCTGCCCTTCAGTCACGTGACACGCACCTACCGCCTCCCCAGCCGTGGCCGCCACCCCACCCACTCCTGGGGCTCCCTGTGCCGCAAGCTTTTCTTCGGGGAGCTCATCTACCCCTGGAGGCAGAAAGGGGACAAGCGGGACTGACGGACCCTGGCCACCGGCCCGCCCGGCACCGCCGCACGGCCACAGTCAGCCCTCCATGCTGCCGGGGACGCTGACCGTCAGGACGGCACGCGTCCGTGCCGTTTGCCTTCTGTGCCCCCGGTTGTCTGAGGCCTCTACATCTGCCCCTGGCTCCGAGGCTGCGGGGTGCTGAGCAGGAGGTCGCAGGGGCAGCCAGCCGGGCCAGCAGGCCCGTGCTTCCTCACTAGCAGTGTTTGCCTCGGGACCCGCCTCCTGACCTGCTGGGATGGCATCGGCAACCCGGTGCCCCCCAGCCCCCGGGGGCCTGCCCAGGAGCCCTGCTCTGCCCCTCCCATCACACCCAGACTCCGGGAGGGGTTTGTAGGCCTCTACCCCTGACCACCACGGCCACTGCCAACGGGGCAAGCTGGCAGCTCTCCCTGTCGGGAGGTGGAGGGACCGCTCCACCGGGATGCGCTCAACGGTCCTTGAGGCGGACCCCCAGCATCCCGTCCTTGGGGGTTGCTCCAGGGTCCCCAGAACCAGCAGCCCCGGTGGCCCCGAGCCCTCTGGGAAGCCGGCAGCACTGCCCTCGGAGCCTGGACCACACAAGGGTTTGCTTGAAGCCACCCGGAGAGGTTGTCCCGCAGGGGGAGCTGCCGTGGGCCTCCGGGTCTCCCTGCGTGAAGCCGGGCCACGTGGGAGCCCGGAGCCGCCTTGCCAGAGACCGGACAGCCATTCACCCTGCCGCCCTGTCCCTGCCCCACACCCCTGCGGGAACGGGCCCCTTGGCCAAATACCATCTCCCTCACTGACGTCGCACAGAAGCAGGCAGCTCCTAGAGAGACCACGTTTGTGGTCTCCAGTGTGTGTGTGTGTGGCGGGGGGGTGGGGGGCAGCGTTCAGGCCGCGTCTGCCTGCCGGCTGGCGTGGCCTCTGACCATGGGCGCGAGCCCCACAATCCCCAGGGGGAGGAAGACTGTACGTGCGGATGGCACCGTCTGTGTTTTGTCCTCCTGGAGTTGTTTGTGCTCGTGCCGTAGCCCGAGCAGGGGAAGGGGCAGCGGCCTCTGTTCGTTGCGGGCACTCGGGCCTGTCCGCCTCTGCCGCCCGCACCCCTTGGCCGCGGGCCACGGCGGGGAGCCCCTGGGGGAGTTCCCAGCAGCTCGGCCTGTGACGGGACACGTCCTGGCTCCGCCTCTTTCTCTGCTGAGACAATAAAACTTCCCACCCGTTTGGAGCGTGCCCTCTCCCTTCCCATCGCCACCCGGGCAGTGGGTCTGAGGAGGCCCCCCGCCTCCATCGTGACGGTGGTGGGGCTGAGGTGAGGTTCCCCTTCTCCTGGGGTGGTAGGACAGCTGGCCCCCATTGCTTTTCCTACGGTGTCTGTGACACCCGTTTCTTGTCCGATGCCGGCCTGGGGAGCAGTGGGCACACCGTCCCCTGAAGCAGGCCTCCCTGCGGGGCTGGCGGGCGGGTACGGAAGTTCCGGCCCCTTGAAGATGTCCTGGCACGGATGGGCGGACCCAGGGTCGCTCACTCTCTGGTTTTGGCCTTGCCCTGGTATGAATGAGAGGGCTGAGGGTAGGGGTGCAGGCCTCCCTGGGGCAGGGGTGAGCCGCCCTGGCTCTGATGAGTACATCACCTCAAACCTGTGGACTCCTCGCAGGGCAGGGATCCTGCCTGCCCCACTCTACTCATCCTGCAGCCTTGAGGGACCCTTGGCTGGCCGCCTGTGCACCTGCCGTCCTGGCTTTGCAGGGAAGGGCTAAAGTCCGGAGAGGGCCGTCAGCACCTCCCGGTGCTGTGCCTCCACTAACGGGTCAGCAGAGGCTGGATGGGGAGCCCTACGAGGCCCCTGTGGGTTCTTGTGGTGGGTGCCTTTCTGGTCTGAGGCAGGTCGGTGAGAGGTCAGGGGTGGGGAGTGGTGCGGGAACCCAGCGGAGGGCCCAGAGCCTCCGAGGAGTTTGCTCAGGTCTGTCCCCAGGCCCCCAGAGCCTGCTGAGAAAAGCCTCCACCACCCGTCTTTCCTGCCAGCAGATGCCAAAACTCGAGATCACGTGGGGCCCACCGCCTCTCCTCTCGGGGACGGTGGTGGCCACTCGACGGGCCATGCCTGGCAGCTGTCCCCCTCTGCCCGGCTGCCTCCCCACCTCCTGAGGGCAGCACCGGTCGCTCCAGCCGCTGCAGCCACCAGGAGATGCTCCCTGCACCTCCCAGGCGGCTCCCATCCTCCCAAGAACAGCCTTCTTCTGTGGACGGCCTCGTCCTCACCCCAGGTCTCTTACCACCCGTGCCACGCTGACCGGGGCAGAGCCCTGTGCTCCGGCCTCCCTGAGGCCGGATCGCAGGTCGCCCCGAGGAGTGGACATTTGCCTTCCATGCAGGGCCACCGCTTCCCGCTCCGGTTCTCGCGGCTGGGAGACAGCGGCCTCACGCACATCAGTCAGGAGATGAGCTCAGAGAGGGAGGGTGACTAGTTGAAGGCCACACAGCGGGCAGGTCTGAGCCCCACAGTGTCTGCGCACCGGCCCCGCCTGTGTTTGGAAGCTCCCTGTGTTGACGTATTTCAAACTTACAGAAACACAGTGCACAGTGCTGTCTGGCACCCCGAGCCACACTCCCCATCGTTCACACTGTGCCACTTCGGGTTTTGGATTTGTGCCGTATTCTTTTCCAAAGAATTTGATTGTCACTTGCCCTTAATTTTGTCCCTAAAACGTCCAGTGTGTACCTTGCAGCCACAGCACGGCGAGGGGAGTCGATTAGCATGGGCGGGCCCCTTGCTGGGCGCCCCCAGGTGACCTCTGCAGTAGCCTGTCCTCCCCCCCACAAC